TAGGATCTAAAGAGAACTTTGCGAGAGGAGGATTATGTTATCGAAAGAAAATTTGTGGAAGATTGGAATTTGTGGGAGTCATGGTTCCGAAGTTAGGAGAACAAAAATAAAAAGGAAAAGGATTGACCGACAAAGGAAGACGGATTTCATTCTCAAAAGTAAGAAATTTATCAAGCAATTTGTAGTCCTTAAGTTTGGTTGTCTGAGTCTTTCTTGTTAGCCCCAATTTTTGTCAATTGACCTATGAGAAATGAGGTCCTAAATCTACTGTGTTTGCTTATCCCTTGAAATTTTTGTTTCCTCTCAAATTTTATGATTGTGAGAGGAGGAATAAAATTTTATTCTGAACTCCCAAGACCTCCCGATGACACCAATTTTTTGTCCTTTTACAGCTTACCACTATGTCAAATTTCAATCTTTATGAGAGTTTTGAACAATTTTAAAAATTAAAGATTAAAATGGAAATTTTAAACTACAGAGATATAATTAAAACTTATCTCAGAGTTTAGAGGCATAATTGAAATTATTTACAGCTATGTGTATATTTATTTTTACAACTCAGTACCCAAAAAAAAATTTTTTAACGAAAAAGTTGACATAATGATATTTTCAAACAATTTTAAAGATCGAGTGGGCATAATTGAAATCAACTCTAATGTTCACGAGTATTCTGTATAATTTAACCTAAAATATAAATTTAATTTTCTGCAATTTTTCTGATTGGCCCTCGTAAAATTATGCTGTGCATTAAAATTGAAAGAAGCAACATAATTTGGAATTTTCGTAGCCATCGAATTTGTAAGGACCCACACCGGCATGTAAACCAAAGCAAAGCAGCTTCTTGAAATTTTCCAAATTTGTTTGTTTGATTTTTGTTTTTTGGCTATGAACCCTCCAAGTTTTTTAACACATTATAGAGAAGAGGGAAATGAAAGTGAGAGACTGAAATTGACAACTAGACAGAGTTATGTACGTAAGGTACAAGTTGTTCTCTATAGGTATAGAGGACATAGTTATTTTTTATTCCTTTAACAACTCGAAGTCGGAACTTTGCTCCTCCTACATACAGGGACACATGCACCTGTCTCAAAGCTATATGGAATACTACAAAGTTATGTCGGTAAGGTAGAAGGAAGTTGTTCTCTATATGCATGTATGATATTATTATTTTTTATTTTTTTAATGATAGGGAGTCAGAACTTTGCTCCCCTATACACATGGACACACACCCGCCCCAAAGCTATCCGGATTATTGTTATTTGATACAATGCTAAAAAAACAAAACAAAAATACCACCGACTAGAATTTCCCACAAATTTTGGCATCCATCATTATCGTTATGAATTTTTATATTTTTCTCACACCTTATTAGCAAGGATCTGAATGAACCCATCAGAGATTATAGACTAAACACAAATCTAGTTGACCTGTTTCTATGTGTGTATCAAATCATTCCTATCTATTCACACTACTATGATGGACCTCTTCTTTTTACTCACTTTCTGATAATGGCGTTTTTCACGGCATAATTGTACTAAGTTCTTAAAACCACGCACCAGACTAGGCCGAGATCCCGATGGACGAACCAGGCTATTGATGCTCATTCTTCCCGCAGATGCCAGCTTGGTGTGTGAAAACCACCCTCCCAAAAAGACGACCATCTTTGGCTCGGGGCTCATGAAGAGTTCACCGTTGTTGTGATGTTGAAACCTTCCCATCTCTATATCATTGTAGTTGTCCTGATCGTTTCGCTTGTGGCTTTTCGATCGAGATGATGTCCTGAGAGTTCAGGATTCTATTATTAGCAGAACAGAAATTAAGATGAATAAATCATTCAAGGAACGAATATCCTCTATGCTTTGTTAGTCCTATATAATACCCAAAATTTCTAACAGCATATTCTATTACTTTCAAGATGGAAGTTATTTGTTGTCTCCTCAAATTTCTGAAATTCTTTTTAACGCCTCTCAACTTTTTTGCATCGATACCATATTTCATGTCCCGGTAGTCATCTGATATACAACAGGCAGATCTTTTAGGAGGTAAGAGTCTCTTACCTACTGTGCAGTTTTGAGGAAACCACGTATTCGTTTGATTGCTTTCTTATAACATTGTAGCCAGTTGTGACATGCCGGACGAACTGAAGCTGAACATGTTAAAACAAAGCAATTCTTATAAGAACGTAAGCATTAAGTAGTGTAAATCTATAATTCTTTTTCTTCTTTCATTAACATCTGGGAACCACATTCCTGACTGTAACTAGATTCATAGTAATGCATCGATAATCCAGTATAAGCAACAAAATAATTCCACACTTAAAAAGGAAACCTAATAATAGAACTCAAGAGTTGTAACAATTCAACTAACCTGAAGAAAGCACAACTAATTTAGCTATATAAATAAATAAATAAAAAGTAACAATTCATGACAAAGTTGAACGGGTAATCATTTTTTTCCTTTTTAATGAAATTAAGGTGAACACCAATAATAGAAAATTTGACTTCTTTCTCAAGTCCTGAATTTTAGGGGGAAACAGTTCAGCCAATTCAGGTTCTGTCCACAAAACTTTCATGCCCTAGAAAGATTGATGGAGCTAGTGAAGGACGTGCAAGGATCTAGCAACAAAAATTTCAAGGAAAAACAGCTAACCGAATGCTCTGATTTACATCATGTTGGTAAAGCTCATAATCCAATCAAAACATCACAGGAAATTTAAATCATCAGGCAGAGAATGATTATCAACAGAAAAGACAACATAAATTCTACAGCTAGCTAAGTACCTGATCACCATCCTTGATGCCGAAATTTGCAATGTAGTCCGTATCATCAACTAGCTTCTCACCAGCATAGCATAAGCAGAAATGCCACCACACATGGAGCCTCCATGAATCAAACAAGAACAGTGAGAAACTGTCTCAGTGAAGAGATATCCAGATTTAAATTTTCTTGTTCAGAATAATGCAAAAGGTCTTGAGAAGTTTATAATTTAGAGCTGATAGATAATTTTATAAATCATCTCCTTCAATCTTTTAACAAGTCATCCAAATAGTGTTCTTAGTTTTGGCATGGTATTGGTAAATGGTAAATAAAACATATGGAACTGAAAGTTCATGATAGAATATGACAGAAGCTAAAGGCAATCAAATGGGTCAAAAAGTTCAACGAACCAACCATGAAATTTTTCCTGGTCCATCCTGTGGCATGTGACTGAAAACCGCCTCCACTGCCCCCTTTAATTCAGCAACAGTGGCAGATTTCTTAACCTGAATATCTGTGTCAAACATCTCAATTCATTGAAGTTTTCCTATATTGAAAGAGGGTGTAATGTGACGAAGGCAATCTTATTCTTCAAATTTAAGACTTCATTCCTTTTCAACTTCAGTGGTCAAGTAATAGTATTTCAAGCAAAAGAAGGCACCAACCAAGAAAAACCCCTCCGAAGAACTAGATAAAGCAGAAGAACAATTTAGATACCTTCAATATCCTCAAAATCAAATCGTATCAAATCAAACCTCAACCTAAACCAGAGATTCCTCTGCCATTAACGAGACATAAAACTAACTTACAAGCAGATGAAAACGCCTAGCACTAGCACAAACAACAAAACCAATCAAAACCAAAACGAACCGACTCCTCCTTTCTCCATTATCCCTAGGAATTAATACAATCCAGCGCAATGTAGCAGCAGTGAAAGACGTAAACATACCGAAACAAGAGCCATCGAGCTTGAGAACGGAGAGGTGGAGAGGCTGATGAGGGAGCTGTCGATACGAAACATTCTTCCTGGAGAGGCCAACGATCATCAAAGGAGAGGAAATTAGCAGAGAAAACGATCGGCGACGCTTGGCGAGGGACGATAATGCCCTAGGAGGAGCGGGAAAGTCGCCAATGTCGAGTCTGCAAACGCCGTCGACGGCCATGGCTTCCGAAGCTCGAATGATCAGAAAAACAGAGGAAAAAAGGATTGAAACCGACGAAATTATACGGAGAAAAAGGAAAAGGAGATGCTTAGGAAAAAATCACACGCATGGTGGAGGGGAGAAGGGAATTGAAGAACAAATTAGGGTTTGGCTTTTTGGGGAAAGAGGAGCATTCGGAGCTTCTGTCGGGGGCAATTCCTCTTCCTCACAGATTCACCAGCAAATTCATTCCTTCGTTCATTTTCCCTCTCTTTTTTTCTTTTTCTTTTTTCTTTTCTTTTTTTTTGAAATAATTAGTATGGTCCCGGAAGAAATGGCAGTTACGACTGGGTTACGTGGCGTAAACCGTTTCAAGCGCCTTCAACTGCCTCTCAACGTCAAACGGCGTCGTTTTTCTTTTCAATTTCAAAGAGGAAAATTATTAGAACTTAGAAGAGGGAGGAAATTGCAGAGAAAGTGAGAAACACGCTTATTTGTAAATAGATTTTAGAGTTTTTCTTGTTTTTTTTTTCTTTAATTATTTATTTGTAAAAGTAAAACTGTAATCAAAGTTTATTTAATGTCAATAAGTGATTTGAAGGTTTATTAATAACGTGTTTTTGTAGACATAATAAATAAATAAATAAATAAATATATATATATTTGTAGTAACATCGGAGGGTGGGAGATCGAACTCTCAATCTCTCCAATCAATTGGTGGTTTAAAATGGTTCAAATAGTATAACAATCCTTTAATAATTCGTTAATAACGAAAACTTAGCTATGGTAATTTTTTTGGTCGCCATAATAATTAACCTACTCAATTTAAACATGTCACCAATTATTTTTTTTAATATCATTATTATTATTTATATCCAAAATGTACGTCCAATTTGTATGCATGAAAGATTTTATGGACTTTCACTCTCGCCCTAATCGAATGAATTGACGAAGAGGGAGAGGAAGCTACCTGTTTGAGCAAAGATCTTCAAGCTAGGTTAGAACATCTCCGCTCCCACTTCCATCTTGAGATCATTTAAAGGGATCGGCTATATCAAGACGGATCGGCTATATCAAGACTAACTAGCTTGTCTACTACTATATCCTACTAGGATTAGAGTCTTTGTGTTTCAAAAAAAAAAAGATCAGAGTCTTTGTTTTCTCTCATTGTTTGGAAGCTTACAAGCTTACAGTTTCATGTTAGATCATTACAAATTTTATTAGACCAACCACTCTACCTTACTACAATTAAAATATTTGCCAAAGAAACCCACACGACTTCTACCCGGACAACCATGATTATTTTAAACTTTTTAAAGATTATTTTAGTATTTTCTATTTTATAAAATTACTTAAATTGATTGGGCTTAAAAAATTATTTGAAGTCAATGAACAATTTATTATTCATATCGTCTATCATACAATAAATATAATTAAGTCCAGATAAAATAAGATTATTAGGAAAACATTGGAGACCTGAGTAAATTTTGAGTGGCAAACATCTCCTTTGTGTTGTAGGTAGATTCAAAAATCTCCACCTCGTTTGCATTGACATCATAAAAGATGAGGAAAATGATGGAAACAATAAATTTGGACAAAATAGTAAAACTAAATCAGGAATACATTAGTCATACCACAGAGACTTTCGAATGTCAAAAAGCTAATACTTCCAACGTCAATACCAAAACGAGCATAGTCCAACAAATTGACATATATCTCAAACTAAGAGGATTGTGAGTTTGAATCTTCATCCCACGTGTTGTACTAAACTAAAAAAAATGATGGTTTGTAACCTATACTAAATTCTCTTATTCCAAAAGAAAAAAAATTATTAAAAGTGACCACCATGATATAATTATCACTGAAGTTGCATAGTAAAAAATTATTTTTCAATTATTTTTTTCATTTTTGATCCATATACTTTTAAAATATTTATTTTAGTCCATGTAATTTAAAATATTTTCATTTTTATCCCATTATTCATACCACAATTTTAGCACAACAATTTACTTACTAATTCTTTAAAAATGTATGAAGATTTTCAATTATGTTGAAATTTCGCAAATACAGACTAAAAAGATCACTATTTAAAAGTACAGAGGTCAAAAACAAAAATTTCGAGAATACAAAATTGAAAGTATAAAGATCAAAATAATCATTTCAAAAGTATACATATTAAAATGAACTAAAATCATTATTCAAAACGGACCAAAATATTTAAACCTTTTTTTTTCAATTATCTAAACTAACATTAATGAACGGATGTCAACCCACACAGAATAATAATATCTCAGAAGGGGATCTTGCACAGTTGCACCAATAACTATGGGCTCAAAACTGTTTTCCAGGTCGTTACACCCTAAAAATCTATGCAGTCAAACAGAACAAATAAGAATCAAGCAAAAAGATAAGTGGAACTCAAAAGAAAAATAAAAAACAAGTGCGAAAATTGAATCAGCACCTGCTCAGAGCAAGACCCTCCCAAAAGTGTTACATCCAAAATTTACAAGTTCATCAATGGCTAGATGAATTTGGAACCAAATCACCTAATTTCTCCTATTAAACTTTGCATCTAGAGGAGTTATTTCCCTATGAGCTTATAGTAGGCATACAAACCAGAGCCAATAAAACCCAAAAGTTGCCCAATAACATTTAGCTGCAAACACAACAAATTACAGCTTTAAAAAAGAGGAAATTAAAGGATGATGCAAATCGAAACAGGTATTTTTACTCACCAGATCAAAAGGAAGGCCGCCAAATATCATCCAGCCAAGTCCAATTGTAAAAAGATCCTAAAATGCAAAGTGAAACTAATTAGTAAGCTAAGGACAATAAAAATATAAGATTATAGGAAGAAGTTTTTCGGGCAAATCTAAGAATTAAACAGAGAAGCCGAGAAAGTACCTTCAGATTACCACATATGGTTTGTGTGACTGCCGAATTCAGAGTGGTGTTTAGAAATATGCTATAGTTCAAGAAGAAAGCCAATGTGCACGAACAAAGCATCACTACCTGATCGACGAAAAGGGTCACAGACAGTGGTCATGGAAAATTGACAATAGCCCAAAACATGGTGAAGTTTCATAAAGATCCCATTTATGTATGATTAAGGTTTGAGAAGTGCAGCAAAGAGGGAATGAAAGAGATGGTGTTACCACATACTACTCAAGTCAAGACACTTATAAATCAATCCATCAAAATGCGATTAAGAGTAAATGCACTCGACTACGAAAGGTCGGTATGCTTGACCAGGAGAGGCAAACTATTTTTTGCATTGAAATTAGTGATGACCCATTAATAATAATTACCCAAACGGATATAAACTGAAAAAGCTGATCATGAAATTGCACATGTATTTGGTTCGTATAGAGGAATTACAACTACCCTGCTTCTTGTTGACAACCAAAAACACTCCAAAATCTACGACAACGACGACCGAAAAAAATGGAGGAAGAGGAGGAGGAACCCCAATAAAGAGCTCTGGCCAGTAAACACAACTTACTAGAAATCCAGGTGAAAGAAGATGAGGGAAGCTAAGAGTTGCCTCCAAGTCACCCCGAATAAATGTCCAGAAAAGTAGAATTGGCGTGCACAATATTCCTACAGTCATTCACAAAAGAATAAAAATGTCAGGAGTATAAAGGTATGGTTACCAGATTATGTGAGGAAAGAATGGGCAACACCAAAAATCTAGTTGTACTTAGAATCAGTTAGCTCACCATTGCACCACATGAGGCCAAAGCTAGTAAGCCCACTTGATTTTCCTAACATAAGAAAATATAAAAAAAAGCCTTCAGCAAAACATAAAAAGAAGTAACTCTATCAAAAAATCCTTAATAGAGGGAAAAAAAAATAAAAGAAATGGAGAGAGAAAGACAGAGAATAGAAAAGAAAAGAGGTCAAACTACCAATACGGGCAATAGTTGCAAGATAGATTGCTGTGGTGACGTTGGACAAGAAAACAATAGAATAGCCATATACGTCAAAGGACAAGTCGCGAGCTCCAGCAATAAATGCGCCGAGAACTATCAAACCAACACTGATAACATCCTTAAAATTTTCAGTTGAATTATTAAATCAGAACCATTTCCACCAAAATAAAACATCCAAGTGAATGATAAAAATCAAAATTGTCTCTAGCAACAAACTGTGATGAAGAAGAAAAGGGGAATAAAGGTTTTGACTCTGTAATTCGAGGATCTAAAAGCAATGTCAATCACTTTCATATTAACTGCAGTGAATTCCTCAACCAACAGCTAATTAAGTGTGATGACAAATATATTCCGATAAAATCACATATTTCTCTATTTCAATAAGCCAAAATCTTCAAATAAAATAAAGCTGGCAAATGCTGAAGAACCAAAATAAAGTGAGAACAGTTAACCGCATCCTTGCAGATGATAGACAACCTTCACTAGGAAACGATTTAAACTGTGTTTAAATTTTCAAAAGAAAGGTGCAAGTTGAAAAACACACATAGATGCATGTGGCAGCTGCAGATCTTACCTTCCAACAACTGAATATGTATATTTTTGTCCTGCCAGAAGATACTCCACAACCATTGTGAAAACAACCGTGGTCCGCCTGAGGGTAGTGTACATGGGTACATTTACTCCACGAACAGACTCCATAGTAGCTAGCTTTCAGGAATAAATATTGGAGTTTGTACACATCAATAACGTATGAAAGAGATAAAGCATCTACATATTCTCATCACACAATTAAAATATACCATGTAAAGCAAATATGTCCCTGCAAGAGGGCTGGTGTGCCTCAACGTCTTCATTGGAACCATTGTTGCAGCATTATCAGAAAGGGTCAAGGATTCACCCACTGTAAAAGATATTACTTTCCAGCGTCTCAATAGATATAGAAAACAACAGGAACATACCATCTGCACCACAAACAAGGAAATATGTCTTAACGACAAACAGTGGCTCACAATCAAATACTATTGGACAAAATAATAAAAGAACCACTAAACTTGTGGCTGGCCAAAACAATGCCATAATTGAGAAGCGAACATCTAAAGATTATGACATTAAAATGATATCAATCAAAATTCAATTTGCAACCTAATATAAAGGAAAACATTATATAATTATAGCAGAAAGTCACTGTAGTTTCGTTGTCATACCTAAAATATTTTGTACATGCAACAAAAACAGCACCAGTACTACATTATACACTAACACTACAGACGATGCTCTACACTGAAGAAGTCCAAAAGCCTCTTTAAACAATAAGATGACAACAATTGTGTACATCATTTTCTCCAAAACAACATCGAATTTTCAAATCCAATTATTTCATAGTAGATAATTGTTCAAACTTCAAAGAGATAACCGAATAGACATCTACCTGAACAAGTGTAATAACATTTGCACTTGGGAAACTATATGAAGAAAGAGCTGCTTTGTTGAACAAAACCAAGAGCACTGTATAATAGATAAGAACCCTCGGTTAGATAATATTGCACAAGAATCAACATCATCAAGTTGACTACTGAAGACCATCAACCATGCAGAATCCGAATGAGAAAACAAATTCATCGTTAAAAATTAGTTTCACGATTCGTAATCGGCATAAAACAAAATCATACAGCAAGCAACTGGCAACATAGTACTATAACAACAGAAGTCAGAACAATTACTCGACATCAAAACAAGGCAGGCCAAATTCTCTAGAAGTAGTAACAGAAGTAGAAAAATATCCGCATAGGAAAACCTAATTCACAGGAAAGAAATGTGCAAAATGAGAAAAAACACATCAACAGACAGATCTAGCAACAACCGGAAGGCGTCGTGAATCAAACAACAAGCTCAGATGCGATAACGCGTACCTGCGCAAGCCATGTAAGAGAGAGCAGCATAGGCTCCTCGTTTGGTCATGGCGGATCCTCTGAAGAGCTTCTCATCGCCTCTGATCAATCGGTCTTTCTCTTCACTGCCATGTGGAGGATCCGACACCGGCAGCAGCAAATTCTTCTCGGAATTGGACGCCTTCAATGACATCGTAGAGCTCGCCTTCTCGGTGAGGCGGAGAAACGGATCAGGAATGGGGATTTGCTGAAGAACGCAGCGGTAGGGAGCGCGAAATCCCCTTGGTAGTCGCCAGATTAAGGGAGCCAATCAGAATTCAGAACAGAGAGAACGGATTTCTGGTTCGGTGAGTTGCCAAACGCGGTTTATGAGTCACCACTCGCTCGCTCCGTTTGAATATTCTTCCTTGTAAATTTGCCGTCGTCGCTGTGGCCATCTTGGCGGATTTTTTTTTTTTTAATAAATAGATTTTTAATTTTTTAGAATGTATTATTAGTTTTCGAAAATAATAACAATTTCACGTTTATTTAAAATTTTATGAGTTTAAAAATAATAATAATAATTTTGGAATATGACTCTCGCATTCTTTAAAACAAAACTTATAATTAGTTTGAAATTGAAAACGGATGATAAATATTCTTACAAGCATAAATAAATAAATAAAAATAAGGATCAAATTATTTAAAGGTTGGGTTGGATCACAGACCAACCAGCTTGGGCTAACCCAAAAACGGACCTATTGGGCCCAAACCAAAGCCCATGTGCATATCTTTGAAATTTATAACCGTTACTAATTTAATTTATTAGGCCATAACTTTGAAGGAGGTAAGTAATTAGGTCTAGTGTACTTAAAAACACTCATATCAACCAATGATATTTTAAATGAGTATTTTGAATTATTTTAAAACATGTAGGATTAATTAATATTTGAAAATTTATATATATCATAAATATCTAAATCATAATATTAATAATTAAAAATGTTATATATTTTGCCTGAACATAGCTTAGTTGGTTAAGGTACTATCTTCGACCAAAAAATCTTGACAAATCTCTACTCTCACACATCCCAATAAAAAAATATTATACATTTTAAATTTAAAAATAAAATTGCATATTTCATAGTGGTGATAGACTTTGAAAATATAGATATGTCAATAAATTCATAAACAAATAGTTGCTTACTTTTTAAATAGTTAAAAATCTCTATTATCAACATTGTTTATATTAGTGATACTTTACTGATATATTGTTTCAATTTGATCGATTATAATGTAATAAAAATGTCGATGCACCTTTTATGCAAATATCTTAATCATAAATATATAGAAATATTGACAGGTTAATAGAAATTGAATACCTGATTTACAACCAAGGTTTTTAAATATCAATATAGATAGGTATTTAAAAAAGTAATTGTAACAAATATTTAAATTAACAAATAAGCATTTCGCGCTTTTTTTAGATAAGTTAAAAATTATTAATATTAACACTATGCCTATATTCTGTTGACATTTTTGCGATACTAGGTAAATGTTGATTCATCTCTTATATCGATGTTAAATTTATGAACATATAGAAATGTCGATGAAAAAATGTCAACATATCGATATAAATTAGCTACCCTAGTTTCAATAATGGGCAAGCCAAAGACCCGAAGGCGAGCCACGTGAAGCGAAAAGATCGAGACGAGAGAAGTGGGTTCCCACGTGCCCCACGTGTGCTCTCTACGTCTTTGTATTTGTATTGGACATTTCACATCAAATAGAGAGACATGGGGCTCTACAAGAGAAGCAATTACTTCACGCAAACGTATGCAAATTCAAATCGCAAAGTTTTCAAAGAGTTATTTCTTGAGATTTCAGGGTCTTTTTTGGTCACACATTACTCAAACATGAATGTTTGCTATTGCTACTATCTTGTTTCTATGCCCATCCCTTTATTAAATAATGGGTCCTTTGTGCCATTATCTTGTTTGTGCTATTATTTTTTCTAGCTTGCATCGACGCGTTGTTTTTTAAACGTTTACATCATGATGTTTCGAAAAGAGAATATGTTACACATGTCAGTTTATTTTATTTAGTTGTCCTTTTTAAATGTTCATATTATGACATTTCAAAAAAATGATATATTATATTCAGTTGTCTACTTTATTCTATCAAGTGATATTAGTCGATGTTTATTTCCATATTACGTTACTGTTTATTTATCATCTAATTTGTAGTGATGGGTCGAATTTAAACGTTGGTATTAAGATGCTAATTTTAAAAAATAAGTACGTTGCACGGACCACTTTGTTGATTAAGCTGTCTACTTTCTTCACCAGGCTATATGAAAATTAGTCATTCATTTTGTTTAATAGGTATATTATATCATCATGTAGTAACTACAATAACTAAGTGAAATTATATTCAAAGTTTACGTATTTGAAACATTTTAATTATTGTGCTAATGGGGCCAAAAAGTTTAACGAATTATTGGTGCTCACATTTTTTGGAATCTCTCAAATCTACTGTGAGTTATGCTTAAGTTGGTATATATTTCAACTAATTAAGACATTAATGTCAACTCAAACATAACTTACTAACTTATAAAATAAAATGTAAATTAATTAGTCAATATATTATAGCTTCTGTTCAACGAGTTAATGAATTGACTAGTCAATATATTGTAAAAAGAAAACTTTCGTTCAATTATAATGCTAACATGAACATAACTCAATTAATTAAGAAGACCGTGAGTTTAACCTCATCTCCTATCTGTTGTACTAAAATACCCTATTATGCTATATATTTTAGTCCTACTATCAACTTCTAATTTAAATTAATCTCGCAACTTGAATTTAGTCCGTGTATAATTTTTTACTAAAATGTTAGAAGTTAAAATTTTCATCCCTATTTTTTTTTCCTAATAGATTTTCATGTCCTACCAAATAAATTAAAATTCTTTTAAACGGAGAGATGGAACCAACTAATTAAATCTAGAACTTAACTATTCACCACCCTTAAATATTTGACAATTAAAAGTGAAAAATATAAATATAAATTTTTTATACAAATGAACGAGTTGTAATTTTTTAAATACGGTAAAAATAAGATTTGGTCGTTGCCGTGGAGGATCAAAACATTTTCCATTAAACCTTTGATTTACTTTGATCTTCAAACAACTCCCGAGACGCAACACCCAATTGGATTTCGTTGGAGTGCGGTCTTCGGGTAGAGAGATCAATCCGGATCCAACCTAATCAGATATCTCCGGGAAGAAAAAGGTGAACGAACAATGATTGAGCAGAAACCAAAACAAAATTAAAGTCGATGTTCATGTGATATCTTCAGAATATTTGAAGAAATTCGGATTATATTCGTTTCTTTAAGGGCTTCGAAATCGTGTAACAAAATCAATGGCGGATTGTGATTGAGCTGTATAATATGCTTCCCCTGCGACTGCCAGCTTTTCGTGTCAGTAAAACACTTTTGGGGTCTATTAGGGCTCATGCAATGCAGGTTTCGACATTGACACGACCAATCCAACCGCTTCGGTGCTTCCAATGGCCGCTCAGACGGAGCAGTCTCCTTGCCCTAATTGGAGGTCACGTGGACTTCAATTGGAGCTGCCCGCTCGGCTCTAGACAAGTTCTCGCCCTCATGGCCTACGCTTTTCGCTTGGAGCGAGCTGCTAGGTAAAGATCTCTGAACATATACCAAACGTATGCATGGTGTTTGTTAAATTGTCTAAGACAAATATTTGCTCTTTTTCTCTCTCTCTCTCCTGTGTGTAGAACTAAACTCCGACAAAGGGAATCGTTTTTATTTTAATTGGGCTAGACAGAAAGGAACTCAAGTACGAAAATTATTGAGGTGGAGGAACTCTTGAAGGGAATGTTTTAGTACCCATTATCATGGAGAACTTTGAATATCAGAGTTCATGCATCATGACGAATTTTGACAACATTACGCCGACAATTTGGACTTGTTTAGCGTGTAATTGCGACAGGAGGGTCATATATGAATCCCAATTCACTCAAGAAAACGACCCATCTTGGAAAATGGAAAGTTCTTTAATATTTAACTTTTGGGTATGATTAGTTGTTTAATGAAATCTGCTCTTAGTCGTCTCTTTCATAATCTAAATTCAAAAGTTGATGATGGTTTAAGCATATGATGTATATCGTTTTAAGATCACTATGCAAACTACATAATTGGTCTCTTCTGTCAATGGAATATCTGATTATGTATATCAATCAAGATCATATTACAGAAGATATTGAAATCTGAATATCTCTAATGTTTTTAATTTAGAATTTGATGATGTTTTGAAGTCTTAAGCATGGGGAATTGAGCATCAAGGACTTAGCTGAATCAAGTTAGGTGCTTGGCCTACTTAATTTATGATATGTTTCTACAGATATGACTACTAGGCCAAACTTGCATACATTCCGTAGTATTTTTCTGTGAACGTGTCCATATCACTGCCCTTCTTTCAGCAGACCCAACTTCCATTGTTGTCTCTCTCTCTCTGTCTACCCAGTTGTCATCTCCTTCACTCTCTCATCCACACTGATACACGTATAAATAGTCCAAATTTACAAACAAAACTACCCATTCGATCCACTACTAGTGCTAGCATCATACCATTGCTTTCGTGAATTATTTGTAGACAGGGAAGATTCTAATGGAGCTTCAACTTGAGCTAGCGCTTTCTATATCAGATCCCACCAGAGGTTTCGACCTGAACAGAAATGGCTGCGATGGGAAAGATATGTTTGGTTCAGATCTGAGGAGCCGTTGTGCCGAAAGCAGTAGCCAACACAAGCGTGGATTTGAAGATGCTTTCTGTAAGAGCAAAGACTCGTCTAAAGAGCTGTCTTTGCTGCTGTGGAGCGGTCAACCAAACAAGGAAGATGATGACAGAAAGGACACCAACCAGAGAAGCTCTTGTGCCATTCACTTGTGAGTTCCATTTACACATCTGATATTTTATTTTAAGAACATTATTGATCGATTCATGAGGGACACTGGTATCTAACTACTTGAGCTATGTTTAGTCCGCAAGATAACATTCATGTTTAGTCTTAGATGTACAAAAATCATGCTTCAAATAATGTACAAACGAACTTTTTTAAATATATATTTCTCTATACTAAGTTAAACTATAGGTTTTATTTTAAATGATGGGTCGGCTTTCATTTCCAACCTTAGAATATAGTACAGACAGACATCTAAGGTTGTGATGCATTTGTTCTGTCATCGAGCATCTAGACTGATGATTTGTTACCATTTTCCATAATTCCATTACAGTAATGCTAGAGAAGAGAACAAAGTTGTGGGGTGGCCACCCATTAAATCATGGAGGAAAAAGCACCTTCATCAGCTGCAACAGGATGGCCTAGGCTACCATTATTGGATGGAAGAGAATGAAGATGATGGAATAGTTTTCAACCCAATATATGTGAAGGTGAAGATGGAGGGGGTGCCAATAGCAAGGAAGATTGATGTGGGGCTGTATAACTCTTATGAGACGCTGAAAACTGCCTTGATCAACATGTTTGCCAATTCTTCTCGTGAGAGACTAGTACTTTTAACTATTTTTCTTCTCTTCCAAAATAAATCAGCCAAATTTTTGAAAACTAAAGATAAAGTTTTCTTAAACTCGTTTTTGTTTTTTGTGTTTTTAAAATTTGACTAAGAATTCATGAGTGTTTCTAGTAACTAAAAAGCTAAACATATATATAAATAAGTCTTAATTTTATTTTGTTTTAAAAAACAAACAACAAAAACAAAATAGTTATCAAAATGAGTAATTACTTCGTTGTGGATGCTGATTGGTAATTAGAATGTTGGTGTTTTCTTATGAACAGATCAGAAGTGTGGGAATGATAATGCCAGCTTTACCCTCACCTATCAGGACAAAGAAGGAGATTGGCTGCTGGCAGGCGATCTTCCATGGCAGTAAGCACTGTTTCTCTTTTTATTCTCTCTGTGGATTCAAAATATTGACAATAGTACAAATCTGATCTGTAATTTCAAAATTTATCTTCTGTGACAAAGATTCTCTTCTTTTTCCATTATCTCTCTCTCTGTGTATGTAGTATAGATAACAGAAGTAAATATCATGAACTTTTATACTACGAAATGAAATGATGGTTTGATTCTGAATACAAGAAATGATGGTTTTTGCAGGACTTTTCTAGAGTCAGTCCAGTGCATGAAGATTATGAGAAGACAACCATCAAACTAATGCAATAAAACTTTATGAGGTTGCTGCCTTTTTCTTACTTCCCCTCATATCATTTATAAGCTATGTGATTACCAAATAAAAGGGGGAGGAGAGAGAATTTAGTTAAGTTTGTTTACCACGTACGATTTGTTTGTTTATTGAGTTCAACAATATGTGGAGATGAGGATTCGAACTTTCGACTTTTAGTCAATGATATATGTCTTAACCTGTTTGAGTTCAACAATATGTGGAGATGAGAATTCGAACTTTCGACATTTAGTCAATGATATATGCCTTAACCTGATGGACTATGCTTAGGTTAGCTACCGTATTTGTTATTAGAGTGATGGAATCAGGTTTAATCTTATATATTGCTTTATATGATAATACTCTAAATTGACGGTCGAGACATATAATCCCTCTATAGGTCCCTAACTCGATTTCTCGTTTTATTTTATTTTTAAATGAAAAAAAAAAAGATTAAACCTATTTAGTTTGATTATTTGGTCAATGCTTTCAATTTTTTTATGAAACCTTTGTAATTCTCATCATTGTCCATATTGCATGGAAATACCATTACCATTTAGCTTGTCCAAATAATTGATTGACAATGTTTATTTTAAAATAAAATAAAAATAGAAATTGTGTGACAAAATCAATAAAATTTGGAAAAAGAAAAAACAACTTATTTTGAAAATTTTTGCCCCTAAAAACTACCTTGTAAAGTTGTTTGTTATGTGTTGAAAAAATAAATAAAGAAGTAGAGAAAAATCGACAACCTTCCATTGTGGAGGAAAATATTGTTATCCAACCATCAAAGAGAGGATCTCATCTTTTTGAAGCTTTCTTGTGAAAAAGTGATAACAAAGAAAAAGAAAGGAGAAGGAAGATGAGAGGGAACAATAAATGGAAATTTATCGTAATGACTAAGAGTCCGTTGGGTAACATTATCATTTCTTGTTTATCGTGTCTAATTTTATTCAAAAGTTTAAGTATTTGACAAACTATTTATGTTTTTCATTTCTCATTTTTTTATACACATTCTCAAAATTGTATAGAAAAATTTTGGAAACAACAAAAACAAGTTTAGTTTATTGTTGCTCGTTTCTTGTTTACATTTCCAATTTGTTCCAACATAAATGAAAATCTGGTTGTATCATTCTTGCATTAGGGATGTTAGAGGTCATACAACTATATTTTTATTTATTAAAAAATAAAAAATAAAAAATAAAAAATAAAAACAAAAAATGATAACGTTATCTAAACAAATGCTAAATTTGAACACTTCATTCATTATAACCTTTGCATGTAAATCTCATTAAAACCCATTTTGGGTCTGATCCATTGGAAAGGCCTTATCTAGTTTAGTTTCCCCCTTTTTTTCTGTTTAATATGAAAATCTCACATTTTTTTATTTAAAAAAATTTTGATACATAATAAATATCTGTAATATTAAAATATGAAAATTTTATGTTTAAAGAATAAATTATGGTTGAATTTAGCTGGATGGCAAATTGAAATTACTCTAAAATTTTAAATATTTACTATGAATAGGCTATGACAATTTCTAGTTGTTTTTCGCAATTTAACAAATAAACTTTATAAAAGTAGTAAAGAAATTTAAATTATAATTGAGCTATTCGTCGCATATTTTCAATTTATGAACTTTTTAAARAATATATTGATTTATTAGATTAAACACATCTATATTATACCTAAAAAATGATTTTAAAGAGAGAGGGAAAGGGAACATAGATTGAATCCACTGTCCAAACTTTACTCTCCAACTCACCGCTCGTTTCTCTCTAAATCTTCTGGGCACGGACAGTCGAAAAAGACGAGCCGATTTCAACTAAAAATTTGATAGCTCTTTTTAAAAAATAACGTAAAAAGATAAAATTTTATTTTATGCATTTCTCCATATTAATTAGCAAAAGTTAATAGTGATCCATAAAGAAAATGGATGTTAGATTGATAAGTATCTAAACATTATTCTGTAAAAGAACATTAACGAGCAAGGAGAATGTCAAGGATCCATAACATCTGCTTCCTTTCATTACCTTCGTCTCACTTTCTTCAACTAACTAACTACACTTTTGTCGTAGAATCTCGAACGATTGAATATCATTGTTTTTTCTTTCTTTTTTTTTTAATCTTATTTTTCGATCATTATTTTAACATGAAACTAGATTCAATAAACTTTTTAAAATGCAGCAATAACTTTGTATTAAATTGTTTCCATTGTGTACGAAGTTTTGTAAACAATCATAAAAAAAATGGTCACTTTTAAAATTATAAGAATGGACGTATGGAACCATTTGACTAAAAAATATAAATACTAAATTGAATGTTTGGAAAGTAAACCAATCAAAATGAATAAAAAAAGTAAAAAGTGGAAAGACCAAGATAATATTTAAATCAAATATTATCAACCCAACTATGTTCATATATGAAGGCAATGGAATGGATAAGAAAAACAAATAAAAAAAGTGTCGAATAATTGTCTTTATCTATATATCATAGACACTCTCTTTAATTAATGTAGAACTTTGTTTGCATATCTTGCAACTCCAATGACACTCTATTGTTAGTCAAACACGGTGCGATGTTAAAAATAAATTAAAATTTACCATGTTTAGATAAAATTTTATATTTTTTAAGATTTGTGAGTGACCATGTAAATGAGGTTTTTTTTTTTTGTGAATATTGATTTTTTAGTCGTTTTGTTCTATTTGTGCACTTTTTTCACCTACTTGATTTATTTTGTTGTAATTGTACATTTTTATAGTTGGGTTGGACATTTCTATTATTCATTTTTATAAGTGATTTAAAATTTTTAACTAAATTTTGTGTGGTTTATTTTTTTAGTACAACATGTGGGGTGAGGTATCGAACTCACAATCTCTTGGTTAAATATATATGTCAATTACYATTGAATTATGTTCMATTTGASATTTTGTGTGGTTTATTGGTTGGTTTAATATGTGAACAAAATTTTAATTATTTATCTCATTATGCAATAAACTATATAAGATTTGTTTTTATTTAGTGTTAAAATTGACCCTTATCTAAACATAGGGGTAAGAAAAAACATCTTCCAATTTTATTTGTTCCCCCAACGTACAATAGAATTTAAACTCACATGCAATTGTTTAATTTACTGGATAAAGAAGTTAAGTTTAAATAATATTTGAGTATTCTAATATAATTGCAAAATATCGGTTTGTGATCTATATTCGCAAAGATCTAACTCAAAATTTAGACACAATGGAAAACAGTTAATCCTATGACAACATTTCAACAAATTTAATAAGGAAAATCTCATGCTAAAATTTTTTGATCGAAATTAAATGAGATAAATATAAGAATGAAGACACTGAAGTGATACTATTTAAAAGAACATAAAAAAAATGAAAGTTTCAAAAAGTTGAGTAAAATGAATTAAAGTTGAAAAGCATTAATGGTGTGGTTTGGAGTAAACGGTCCTACGAGTGATTTTGAAAAAAAAAATTTAAGTATAATTAATTTGCTAAAATCACRTAATACTTTAAGAACCAATTTAATGTGATTTAAAAATTTCTTAAAATCAAAATTTTAATTTACCTATAATGGAGAGTAGAGTGATTTTGACAATAATAAAAATTCATGAGCCCAAAATAAACAGTACATTGACCAAAATAGTATTTAATAAATATCAATTTTATTGGATTTTTATAACATTTTCAAAAATCAATATGTACTTTTTTTTTYCCTTGAAAAGGAAATATCAATATGTACTTGATTAAGGAGTTAGATCCATTTTATTTRCTGCCCCGCTCAATAAAATATTAATCAAATGGAGATGTCGGTGCCCGGTAAGGCCACACAAGATCTTCCCTTCCATGGTCAGAGATAAGTGGAAAAGCCAAAAACAGTCGTAAAAAACAGAAAATTTGCCAAAAAGTTTCAAAATATTTTTCAAAACAGAAAATATAATACTTACAAACTATTAAACTGCCAAGAAAAAACAGAGAGTTAAAAATGGAATAACTGCTAAATGGTGCATTAATCACCAGTGCATCCAAAATAGGTGTGAGGAAAAAAAAATCTAACGTAATTGAATCAACTCGTATACTTGAACTATACTCTTTCGTTGACTCGACTTTTAGAAATATAAAATTGAAAAATATCTTCTCGGATTGGTTTGAATAAATTTTGAAAGTCTATGGATTGGTATGATTTGATTTTTTCAAAAGTATTATTCATTGTCAATTTTTACGTTTTTTTTCAAATCAGTACATCRATTTGATGTGATATGTACATTCCTAGTAGTTCAACTCTCGAAGTACCAATTGAATCACTCACCGACCTAAACATAATTCAATTGATTAAGAAATTATGATATTGATCTTAAGGAGATTCAAAGTCAAGAAATGATGGYCATGTGTAAAGATTTAAATTTTAAAGGTTATTGAGTATTTGAAACAATCCGATGTATTTGGAATCAGACTCTCTTRAGGTCATTGGATTCCTTAATCGAATTCAAGCAAATCTGGATGAAACTATCTGATTGGTTGACGAAGCAATCTTTATAGAAGAAAAAATTGATATTTGCTCGATGGTTCACATCTACAGATAAACGAATGGAGTCGCAGGTAGTCATAATGAACTTGTGTTGAGTTATTTTGAAATTTAGGTTTTTCCCACGAAAAAAACTAATTGAGTAAACTTCGTCAAGTTTAAATTTATTTTATTTTTTTGAAAGAAAACAAAATTGTCAGTCAGTCAAATAAAAATGACCGGTTGACCAAAGCGTAGCAGGTCCGCGGTAAAAGGAAAAAAAGAAAAAAGAAATAAAAATAAAATTACGGCCGGCCCGTATTATACCGTAAACCGTACGCAGTCCTACGCGCCGATTATGCTTTCCTTCCGACACGCCCCCTCCACCTTCCAAAAAATGTCTCTCCTTTTTCATTTTACAAATAAAATTATTAATATATCAAAAATTCGAATTTATTATTTCAGATCTGCGATCGAAAATCGACGGCCATGATCGCTGCCGCTGCTCTCCAACTCCTCCCACCTAGATCCACCCGTTTCCACTCGCTTCTCTCCCAAAACCAAAACCAAAACCAAAACCAAAACACCGATTTCCAAGTCGAATAATCTCCGCCGATAACATCGCTACAGAATCTATACTGCTGCTTCTGCCGTCGCTTTTTCGTTTTCTTCTTCTTTCTCTTTGATCTCATTGCATTTCAGCTCCATTTTGTAGCTTTTTCCTCCAGAAGCTCCGGCAATTCGCCGCCGTCGCGCTGATCTGAGAGCCTTCGTTGCAGATCCGGGATCTTCAGCGTGCGCTGCGGGTAAGCTTGATGGTTTTTGTGATTTTCTTGATCTGTACTGCGTTGATTTGATTTTTGCTGGTTAATGATTTGAATTGATATATAACTTGTGTTTTAGCTGTGGAGTGTTCGGTGAACTAGAAGGATCGAGTTGGGAAGGGAGCGGGGAGTTTGGTGAGGATTGTAGTGAGACGGTAGAGATGGCGCCTAGTACGATCCGGAARGCGATCGGAGCCGTGAAGGACCAGACGAGTATTGGAATTGCGAAGGTTGCGAGCAATATGGCGCCGGACCTTGAGGTAGCGATCGTGAAGGCTACGAGCCACGATGATGATCCAGCCAGCGAGAAGTACATCAGGGAGATTTTGAATCTGACATCGTATTCGCGTGGTTATGTGAGTGCGTGTGTGTCGGCGATTTCGAAGCGTCTGGCCAAGACGAGGGACTGGATAGTGGCGCTCAAGGCACTCATACTTGTGCACAGGTTGTTGAATGAAGGAGACCCGGTGTTTCAGGAGGAAATCTTGTATGCCACTAGAAGGGGCACGAGGCTATTGAATATGTCCGACTTTAAGGATGAAGCTCATTCGAGCTCGTGGGATCACTCGGCTTTCGTTCGAACTTATGCATTCTACTTGGACCAACGGCTGGAATTGATGTTGTTTGAGAAAAAGGGTGGTAGTACAAGGGGAAATTCCCGCGGA